TTCTCTCTCTCTCTCTCTCCCTTTTATGATTCGAAAATAGCTTAGCATTCATTTTTTGAAATCAAATATTTTATTGATATTGCACATTATTTTATTCAATACTTTTAATTTAAATAATAGTAATAAAATTTTAATTTTAAAAAATAATAAACAAAAATCATTCAAATTAATTTTCTTTTTTTCTTTTTCTATCTGATAATAATTTTTTTTTCGAGTTAAAATTGTATGAAATGTAAAAAAATTTTTTTTTCTCTCTTTTATTTCATTAATACAAATTTTAATTTTAAAAAATAATAAACAAAAATCATTCAAATTTATTTTCTTTTTTTCTTTTTCTATCTGATAATAATTTTTTTTCGAATTAAAAAAAAGAAATTAAAAATCTATGATATTTAAAAACTTTTTTTCTTTTTTTAAAATTTTATATCAACTAAATTAAAGATTTGCAAAAAAAAAAGAAAAACAGCAATAATTTTAATTTGAAAATAACAAACAAAAAATTTTCTTTTTTTTTCGAATTTGTAAAAAAAACTTTTTTTTTCATTCAAAATTAATTTTCTTTTTTCTTTTCCCTGTCCGATAATAATTTTTTTCAAAAATTAAAAATATATGAAATGTAAAAAAATTTTTTTTTCTTTTTTTTTTAAAATTTTATATCAATTAAATAAAAAAATTAAAAACTAACAATAATAGTAGAAGAATATTTGAAATCATCATCACTGTCCATGGTAAGATCTTGAAATGCCACTAGCGCTTCTTCAATTGTTGCCGCCTGATATCGAGAATCATAAGCGATGCATTTATCTGTTCCAGGTTTAATTACACATGGACACTAAAAATTAGCATATTAATGCTTTTTTTATTTATTTAATTCGTTTTTCTTTTTTTTTGAATAATTTAATTTGTTTTTTTTTTTTAAATTAATATTAAAATTTATAAAATTTACTTATGCATAGTTTAATTTATTCATTTACTAGGCTTAATTACACATGGACACTAAAAATTAACATATTAATGCTTTTTTAATTTATTTAATTTGTTTTTTTTTTTAAATTAATATTAAAATTTATAAAATTTACTTATGCATAGTTTAATTTATTCATTTACTAGGCTTAATTACACATGGACACTAAAAATTAGCATATTAATGCTTTTTTATTTATTTAATTTTATTTATTTAATTCTTTTTTATTTATTTAATTTTAAAATTTATAAAATTTACTTATGCATAGTTTAATTTATTCATTTACTAGGCTTAATTACACATGGACACTAAAAATTAACATTTTAATGCTTTTTTTATTTATTTAATTCGTCTTTTTTTTTTTAAATTAATATTAAAATTTATAAAATTTACTTATGCATAGTTTAATTTATTCATTTAGGCAGTAAAAATATTATTCACCCAAAAAAAAAAAACTATATATATGTATATATATTTGTATAATTAGTTTTAAGAAAAATTATAATTTGGAATAATATAATTAATATAAATAAAAAATATAATTTAAAAAAAAAAAAGATATATAATACCTGTAGAACAGAATTTCCATGAATACATTGATTTAATAAATTTTTTTTTTTCTAAAGATATAATTAAAAAATATAATTTAAAAAAAAAAAAAGATATAAAATATCTGTGGAACAGAATTTCCATGAATACGTTGATTTAATAAATTTTTTTGTTTTAAAAAAAAAAAAATTATTGTTTGATAAAATATGATCAATATAAATAAAAAATATAATTTAAAAAAAAAAAGTTTATATTACCTGTGGAACAGAATTTCCATGAATACGTTGATTTAATAAATTTTTTGCATCCGTAATTTGTCGTTGATTATTTCGTTTTATGCGTGCTTTTTTCACGTTATGAATGAAAATTTTTTTTGTATCAGTAAATGTAATATTTGAATTATTAAAATGTTGCACAGATAAAATATTTACACTTTGAAATGGTTCAAATTTAATAATTGTATGTGATAATAATTCAGCATTTATAATATTTATTATATAGAAAATAAAAATAAAGAAATGAATACTTATCATTTTGTTATTTTATCAAAACATTTATGCTATACAATCATTTTTGTTGTTTAGTAATGTTTAACCCATTCGTATTCAGTTCATACACAAATAATTAATTATTATTCCTCCAGTAATTAAATGTGAACAAATCTGAAATATGTTTTATTGATTGTTACGTTGATTACGTAACGGGCTAGCATGTGTATGGAGTTACGTTGATTACGTAATGGGCTAGCACGTGTATGGAGTTACATTGGTTACGTAATGAGCTAGCACGTATGGAATTATATTGGTTACGTAATGAGCTAGCACGTATAGAGTTACATTGGTTACGTAATGAGCTAGCACGTATGGAATTATATTGGTTACGTAATGAGCTAGCACATGTATGGAGTTGCATTGATTACGTAATGAGCTAGCACGTATGGAATTACATTGGTTACGTAATGGGCTAGCACGTGTATGGAGTTACATTGCCTACGTGACGGACCTAGCACGTATGGAGTTACGTTCGTTACATAACGGGCTAGCACGTATGGAGTCACATTGGTTACGTAATGAGCTAGCACGTATATTTGGTTACATTGGTTACGTAATGAGCTAGCACGTGTATGGAGTTACATTGCCTACGTGACGGACCTAGCACGTATGGAGTTACGTTCGTTACATAACGGGCTAGCACGTATGGAGTCACATTGGTTACGTAACGGGCTAGCAAAGTATGGAGTTACATTGCCTACGTAATGGGCCTAGCACGTTTGGGACGTTTGGGGGTCAGTAGTTACATAACGGGCTAGCACGTATGGAGTTACGTTCGTTACATAACGGGCTGACAGAGTATGGAGTTATACTGCCTACGTAACAACGGGTCCAGCACGTTTAGGGTTACAGTAGTTACATAACGGCGTAGCACGCATATGGGGTTACGTTGGTTATGTAATGGCTGACACGTACAGGGTTGCGTTGGTTATGTAATGGCTGACACGTACGGGGTTACGTTGGTTATGTAATGACTGACACGTACGGGGTTACGTTGGTTATGTAATGACTGACATGTACGGGGTTACGTTGGTTATGTAATGACTGACACGTACCGGGTTACGTTGGTTGTGTAATGGCTGACACGTGCAGGGTTACGTTGGTTATGTAATGACTGACACGTACGGGGTTACGTTGGTTATGTAATGACTGACACGTACGGGGTTACGTTGGTTATGTAATGACTGACACGTACGGGGTTACGTTGGTTATGTAATGACTGACACGTACGGGGTTACGTTGGTTATGTAATGACTGACACGTACGGGGTTACGTTGGTTATGTAATGACTGACACGTACGGGGTTATGTTGGTTATGTAATGAGTGACACGTACGGGGTTACGTTGGTTGTGTAATGGCTGACACGTGCAGGGTTACGTTGGTTATGTAATGACTGACACGTACGGGGTTACGTTGGTTATGTAATGACTGACACGTACGGGGTTACGTTGGTTATGTAATGACTGACACGTACGGGGTTACGTTGGTTATGTAATGACTGACACGTACGGGGTTACGTTGGTTATGTAATGACTGACACGTACGGGGTTACGTTGGTTATGTAATGACTGACACGTACGGGGTTACGTTGGTTATGTAATGACTGACACGTACGGGGTTACGTTGGTTATGTAATGACTGACACGTACGGGGTTACGTTAGTTACGTAATGGCTGACACGTACGGGGTTACGTTAGTTATGTAATGGCTGACACGTACGGGGTTACGTTGGTTACGTAACGGACTAGCACGTATGAATACATAACAATTACTTTTAATTTATCATCACAGTTGAATTATTAATGAATACAGCGCAATCAATTATCATTATTAAAAATAAATAAGCAAAACATATATTAGAAGTATTTCTTCTTTTTTTTTTATTTTTTGCAACATGTTAAAATTATTGAGAAGAAAAGATTAAATAATTTTCAATTTCAAAAACAATTAATATATTTATATTGATTATGAGATTTATTTATTTATTTTTTGCAAAAATTATTTTAATAAAAAAATGATTTGGAATGAAAAATTATTCAAAAAAAAAAGGAAAAATCAATAAACATAAGTTATATGTGAAAGAAATTTTAATTGAATTAATTAATTACAATTATTGAATTGTATTATAATAGTATTTTACATAAATTTCATTTATATTTTAGTGCATAATATATTGATTATTCAAATGATATCAACATTGATTGTAAAATAATGAATTATTAGATAAATAAAATTATAATAAAACTGAAAAAAAAAAAAAAAACTGAAAACTTATGAACTGGAAACTGGAACTCATATCAAAGCATTTTTTCCGGATAATAATCCATTTATTAATTTAAAACTGGAAACTCAAAGCATTTTTTCGGGATAATAATCCACTTTTTTCTTTTTTTTTAATTATTAATTTCAGTATTCGAGAATTTCGAGAATTTTCTTTCCATATTTTTCTCACTATTTTTTCTTTTTCTTTTATTTCTTCCATAATTTAACTCAGAGAATATTATTATTATATTAAAATCTATTTTCTGGCAATTATAAAACTTTGGAAATTATATCGTTGTTATATTTTAAGTATTACTTATCGAGCATTTTCCTCAAAGATTTTCAAATAGGATATTGTGAAAAAAAAAAAGAGAAAAAATAGAAAAAAGAGTTACTCATGCTATTACTATTATTACATTACTTAATTACTTTTATTATTACTTCATAACAATAAGAAAAAAAACAACAACAATAACAATAACAGCAACAATAATAGCAGCAGCAACAACAACAATAGCAATAACAGCAACAATAATAGCAGCAACAACAACAATAGCAATAACAGCAACAATAATAGCAGCAGCAGCAACAACAATAGCAACAACAGCAACAATAATAGCAGCAACAACAACAATAGCAATAACAGCAACAATAATAGCAGCAGCAGCAACAACAATAGCAATAACAGCAACAATAATAGCAGCAACAACAACAACGACAACAGCAATAACAGCAACAATAATAGCAGCAGCAGCAACAACAATAGCAATAACAGCAACAATAATAGCAGCAACAACAACAACGACAACAGCAATAACAGCAACAATAATAGCAACAACAACAACAACAATAGCAATAACAGCAACAATAATAGCAGCAACAACAACAACAACAATAGCAATAACAGCAACAATAATAGCAGCAACAACAACAACGACAACAGCAATAACAGCAACAATAATAGCAGCAACAACAACAACGACAACAGCAATAACAGCAACAATAATAGCAGCAACAACAACAACGACAACAGCAATAACAGCAACAATAATAGCAGCAACAACAACAACAACAATAGCAATAACAGCAACAATAGCAGCAACAACAACAACAACAATAGCAATAACAGCAACAATAAGTAGCAGCAGCAATAGCAATAACAGCAACAATAATAGCAGCAATAGCAACAATACAACAATATAACAATTATTGCTACTATGAATTTATTTAGTACTTAAAAAAATATTATCAAAAATTTTTTTGAATTTTCGAAAAAATTACAATTTTTTGATGAGAAAAATGTAGAAATAGCATGAATAAATATTTTTCAATCTCTGTTTTAAGAATAAGAAATGTAAAAAAAAAAAAAAAAAAATATCGTAAACCGGTACTGAAGAGTATTTTATTGACATTCTATTCTCTCTTTTTTTTTATATCCTGTTCTACCTTTATGTTTCTGGCATGTGATGCTACGTTAATTATCACAAATATCAAATGTACTTTTAGTTCAAATTTCAAATGGTTTTTAAATTTTGGTTTCAGTTACTTTTTTTTTTTTTTTTTTTTGCAAATTCTAGTTCCAGACAATTATTTATCCAGTGATTTTCACAAGAATGAACTTTAATCAGCAAAATATAAAAAAATTAAGAAATTATAGATTAAAAAAACAAAAAACAAAAAAACAAACAATAACAAATTTGGAATAACATTTAAAGCTGTGGCTTAGTTACAACCTTGAATGTTTTTGTTCAATTAGAAAAGGTCATCAAACTATTACCATAAGGAATTTGCAAAAAAAAAAAATGTATTAATTGACAGCTAGACAATAAAATGGATGATTAATACTGATTTCTATTACACAAAAAATTTCCATTTCAAAATTTAGCAAAATTTTTCTTAAAATATTTGATAAATCAATAAAATTTTCAGGTAATTCATGTTTATATCACAAAATATTGTCATAAGTTCACTTATGATAATCAGACAAAATATTTTAATATCATTCCAAATGCTAGTATTTGTAGTTTAGATGCTTAAATATAATGGAAATAAACAATATGTACTATCTGTTGTAAAAATTAAGGAAACAATTTGATCGATAATACAGTCATAATTTACAACTGAATTTTATTAGGCATTAGGTAATTTATTTCTCAGTATTTTCGAATCAATATTCATTAGAGAGAAATTTTCGGGATGTATTTGTAAAGCAAATATAGTTAAACCAAAAAAAAAAAAAAAAAAACAACAAGTAGTATTAGAACTGTCAATCAACAGCGATTTTCTCATGCTGCATAAAACTTAGGTTTGCTTCGCTTTTTGGGATTTGTTTTTAACACCAGCCAAAATGCTACGTCATCAATAAATGTCTCTTTTAGAAGTGACTGACACATTACATGAACATAATTATTTATTGACATACAAACAATAAAACAAACCAAAGGCAGTAAATAATTAAACGTTCAAATTGAAAAAAAAAAAAAAACATATAACACCGCTTCTATCCTTCGTCCATTTGTTCACTGCCAAAGGCATCTCCATGATCTGCAATCCGAAGCATATAAGCTAAACATAAAAATAGAGTGTTTAAACATATATTTTTGTCCGAAAACATTGCACCTATCGGAGTGACTTCAACGTTTATAATACTTCTACCAATATTTTATACAAAAACCATAAAATATGTTAAATCACGCTTCCTACAATACTAAAACACGTT